TGTTGCTGTTGCTGCTGTTGCTGTTGCTGCTGTTGCTGTTGCTGCTGTTGCTGTTGGATGTACTGCATCTGCAACTGTTGCTGCTGCTGCAACTCTATGCTCGTCATGCCATTGTGGCGTGCATCCTGTCCGTTGACATTGGGGCTTTGAACGGGAAACTGGGGGCCAGGCTGCTGGTGCATCGCACGGCTCTGCTCCTGGTCGAAGGAGCTCTGTTGCTGCTGTTGCTGAGGAGCAACGCTGGACATGGCGCCTTGGTGATTCGCCTGGCCTATCATGCTGGTCATGAGACCAGGGTCGTGTGTAGCCATCGCCGGGGTGATCCGGGCGCTGATGGCAGCACGATGCTGCTGCTGCTGCTGGACTCCCGGCTGTGGCGTCTGTGCTTGCGGCGGTCCTGGCTGGCCCTGGACCTGCTGCTGGTGAGGCGCCAGGCCGATCGACCTGGCCTGCGGGGTGCTCAGCAGCAAACTTTGCTGTGCGCGCAGAATCTGCTGCAAGCCCTGGGCCCTTGTCTGGTACTGCTGCGCGACAAGAAGGTACTGTCGTGACGCCGCCTCGTTCGGTGCCGCTTGCGCCTTGGACACTTCGCTCTTGACCATAAGCTGCAGCTGGTGGATCTGAGTGAAGACCTCCGCCTGCTGCTGTGCGGAGAGCTGCTGGACACCCTCGCTGCCCTGCCGCTGGGGAGCATTGCCGGGCGTGGGCGAGGCGACTGCGCCAAGTGGCGCTGACGGAGGCCGCATGCTTTGCTGCTGTTGCTGTTGCTGTTGCTGTTGCTGTTGCTGGAGAAGGATCTGCTGCTGCTGCATGGCCAATGACATGCCTCCTTGGACACCACCTGCCTGCTGCTGTGGCTGCCCGCCGGCCTGTTGCGCAAAGTGTCCGTACTGCCCAGTGCCCATCGCACCATTCTGCGGCGCGGCTTGCGCCTGCGGCGGTTGCTGGTGCTGTGCCTGCGCCTGCGCATGTGCCTGTGCTTGTGCTTGTGCTTGTGCTTGTGCTTGTGCTTGTGC